CGGCGGCTCCGCGTACGGCTCAGAGGAGGCCTCAGCCGAGGGGGAAGCAGCGGGGACATCGTCCTGCGGGAGCGGAACCGGCCCCTCGACGGGTGCGCGCTGGCTGCGGCTTACCGGCTAACGTGCGTGGGATTCGTACTGCAGCTGAAATCACATGTTATCTTCTAAAGCTTTTTACGGAGATAGGTAGCCAGGTTCTCGGGGGGGGGAAAGACCTTGAAAGACATTGGAACCCTTTAATTCTAGTTTTTAAAAACCACTTGAATTGAAATCGAAAAAATTATACAAAGAATGTTGCATGTAGGGAATAGCTGTGGCTGTCTTGATGTAAGGACACGGGTGAAGGAGGTAATATTTGAAGCTAGAAGAGATATCTTTCGTTAGGCTGACTGCTATGGTGTGGCCTAATAAAAAAAGGGCAAACTTCAGAATATGAGAGAATTCTCTTAGATCTGAATTATCTGAGAATGTAAAGATACCATTCTAAAAGTAATGCAGTTAATTGTTATGATAATTTAGTTTTAATGATAAATATCTTTAAAGCAGTTTTCATTACAGTAGTATAAATACCTAACAAAACATAATGCTATGAAGTGGTGCCACTGAATATTGTTTATAGGTGAACTCTGGTTTTTATGACTAATCCTAGCTTATTTTTAATTTCAAGGACAAAAACTAAAATGAAGCTGGACCTCTTTGATACTTGTAAACCTTATTACTATTTATAGTTTACACTTTTATGCGTTTATATAAAACCACTGGGATAATATTTGGCATGTTAAATGTTTCACAGAAAAATGATGCAAAATGTGCATCTGGTTCCTGAAGCTGATGAAGATGATCTTTATTCTGGCTACAATGATTATAATCCCACATTTGACACAGAGGTAAAAATGTTTGCTGTTTCCCACCTTTCCCATACATAGGATTTTAACTTCTAGTTACAAGATAACAGTAATGCACAAGGGTAGTACTGCTTTGAAGTGAAATTTTGTTTATTTAGTAAGAGTTCCACAAAGATCTCTTTGAATAGTTATTTTTTTGATATTTTTCCAACAAAATACTTGTATGCATCTCATGCTTTACTGCTTAGAATTTATGAAGTTTCAAATCCTAGTTGTTTGAAGGCCATATTCACATTCAGTCACATTCAATGTGGTGTTGCCCAGACAGCATGCAGCAGCAAGTTGTCTGACAAATGAGTCTACTATTGGTAGTCATTGATCTCTTACTGTGCTGCAGCTGAAGGAGACAGCAGTAGAGTGGGATCTTGCAGGTCTCTGTGCAATCAGTGGAGTGTCTGGGATGACTTATGGTAACTCTGCAGACCACTTTCTGGTAACTGCTGGTGTATTGGAGTTGGAACAACGGGGGGGGGGGGTCATTTGGTCCAGGCCCACTACCCTGCTCAAAACAGTGTTGCAAGACTTGGCATCTTGTGTGAAATTCCAATGGCAAATTCGTGTGAGTTGCAGCATGGCCTCAGAAACATGAGATATCTTAATGTATTGGTGTGACAGGCAGTAATGTTAAAATTTAGAAACAGTGCTAGTAGTAAGCTTTTGGACAGAAATAAAATTTCATGTAATATTTTATCACTAAAACTCTGCTTCCTCAGTGCAGAGGAGTAATTTTAATTTTTTCACTTCCTAATCTAGAATACCAAAAAGATAGACCAAACAATATAATAATTACCTATTGTCACTAAAACCTGTCATTTAGTTATCTTCAAGTCAAGTATTTTTGAAAGAAGAATTGCTTTTTTACCTGTCTGCTCTCAGTAGTCATGAGATTCTGGAAGTGTAGCTTTGGGTGTTGTGGTTTTAAAAGGATTGATTTTTTTTTTATTTTATCTTTTCTAGGATTTAGAAAATGATGTAGCTTTTCAACAGGCAGCAAGAACAAGTCACGGTAGAAGACCCCCGGTAAGTACCTTTTGATATATAGCAATACTGTAGACCTTCTCTGGAGCCCTAGCTCTGATTTTGGCACTGGTACAAACTTATCTGGGGAATCTCTTATCTTTTTTGTCTACCACTAACATGAAAATACAGACTTCACTTATTTATATGCAAAATAAGTAAAAAATGAGTAGAGCACGGGTTCCATTAAGTTCTGGAGTTAAGCTAGAGCAAAAAAAAAAACTTCAGTTGGAAGTGTGTATTCTGTTTTTGATAAAATGAGATAAAAATGTGTTAAAAAATAAAATTATTTATTCTGAAAGGACTTTGTTTAATATTCTACACATAGAGTTACTCACTCAGACATCTACTTAAAAGATTGAGATATGTACTAGACAGTAAGATTTAGAAAACTGTGTTATTGTTCTGGTCATTTTGTTCTCCATATTAATGTAATTTACATTAATTTTCTTACTTTAATTTAGCTATGACTTAATCTTATATCAGTTTTCAAAACTAAATATAAAGTTGGCATGTGCATTTTAGGTGTACATACTATATGTCTAAAGAAGAGCTGGAACTGTCTGATTAATGTTACTTCTTTGCTGGAATAATCTGGTTTTACAGTGAGAATGCTTTATGTAACAACTGAAGCATTATTTCTGTGAATTCACTATAGAAACTATATAGAAAGACTGTTAATTAACACATATGGTTGTTAATTGGCAGGGGGATGGATTGTTTGTTTGTTTTTTTCTACCCAGGTAATAGCCAAAATTCCTGGTACATCAGCTTCAAGATCCTTAGCTACTGGATTTGGGGTATGTTTTATTCTGTCGTATTTTTAATGAAAATGATGTATTTACCAAAAAATAAATTTACCATTTAATCCCTTGCACAAAATGAGGTCTTTTTATGTAAGTACTTTCTTACAGTGAACTACATGTATTCATTACTTTTAATTAATTCACAACTCCACACTTGGTCAAGGCATGGTTACTGATTTTTTTCTTTTTTTTTTCTCCCAAACTATACTGCACATCAACTTCCATACTGCATAAGGCAGTAGATTCAAAGGTATTAACCTGATTTTCTTGCAAGAGGAACGGGATGGGTTGTTATTGGGGCTTGGGAAAGCTTTTTGAAAGTTAAGGTATAATTAAGTCTTAAGATATACAGGCTTTCAAATCGCCTGTAGTTTAATCAGAAAAAGTTGGTTATATTCTTTAGTGTACTTAACCCGTTATAACTTGTATAACAGAAGTTATATAGCACTAGTGATATATCCACTGTCCACTTATCCCAATAAATTTTCAACCTGTTGACCTGTCTTAGTCAAATTTGAAAAGACAGGGCTCTTGGATATAAAGTTCTTGTAAGTTGTATGACAAATAAAGAAGGGACCTCACTTCACTTTAGATCTCTTATGCCAGTTAGTAGAGTAACAATTTCAAGAACACCTAAATTCTATTATAAGTCATTGAAATAGAACCTTTGCTCTGAACCTTCTGTTACCTCCTCTGGATATGTTCCTTTTGAGATTGCTTTTTCTTAGCAGCTGTATTTGCAGATGTTTAGTGTAGTACCACGCTGTGACAGGAAAAGCTGTCTCGTTAAAGGAGTGCACAAAAAGGCACTTCCTAAGGATAAAAAAGACTGAAATGTTTATCTCCATTAGTAGAGCTAGAAAACTCCAAAGCATTGTCCAGGCAACAGTACTACCCTGCAGATTTGCTTCTTCTACACTACAGTCCTTGTTCGTGTAGATTCAGTGTTAGCAGAAAAAAGGAAAAACAGTCATAGTGTCTGGTGGATAGTGGGTGAAATAGTAAAACATAGGCCTCTGAGTGGGAATTAGGAGAACGATTTTTCATGGCCTGAAACCCTTTATTTTTGTCTTGTTTGTATTGTATAGTTGTAGCTACCTTTAGCACTTTCAACTAAATATTTCAAATTTATTTCTTTACATTTTTAACACTACTACAGAAGGACGGTATGCGGCATGTCAGATGATGGAAAAGATATTAACTGGCAGTTTCAAAGTATATCTGTATTTATTGTAAAATAAATCTTCATGAAATGATGACTTAAAATCTGCCCCTATATTAATCTCTTCTCAGCTGCACTCAGAATCTTAGTGAATTATTTTGTGTAAATTACTTGTTCAATTTAAAGGTAGTAATTTCAATAATTTAATAATGGAGAGTACTGCTGCCTCAGATAATTTTATATGTAATTTTTTTAAAAAGGTTTGACAATTATTCAGATACATAAAAAAACAATATTGTGAATTTGTGCTAACTGAAATGTTCAGTATCTTTAAGTGTGCCAGGCACTGTCAGTGTATTGCATATGAATAACGTAAATGAGAATTTTGCTATGAACTTATGTGAGAGTTAAATCAACTCTTAAAACTCAATGTTGAGAAGGCTGTGCATAGCCTTTGCTGGCTTCTAATGCTATGTGAATGCTAGTTTCAAACAATTTACTTATTTTTGTAGTCAAAGGCAACTTTAAATTCATCTATGGGAAGACCAACGACAGGAACTATACAGGTAAAAATTTAAGTATTTACTTTTTATACTTATTTGAAGCAATGAAGTTTTCTAATAAGTGTTTGGGTTTGAGCCAAGTATTTAAACGTTCATTGAAATAATACAAATTATTTCTCCATTTTAATTTGTCCTTTTTTGAAAACACTACTCTCAGAAAACATGAGGGTTATGATGAGTGTTTGAGCACAGGGTTGGAAACTATACCAGTGTAATGCTTTTAAACACTTACTGACATGCAATGAAAAATTTTTCATGAAAATAGGAGAGAGGTAGATTCTGATTTTCATAGTTTTCTTATGTACTTATACTCTAATAAGAATCTGCTGCAATTTACCAATTACGTCCCCATCACCACCCTTAAGTATATTGTCTTAATGTTAAATATATCTATAGTCGCTATATTCTTTTGTGTCAGCCCAGATGGGAAAGGGAAATTATCAGGGAGCATCAAGATAGGGCTACTCCCTAAGGGAAGGTAAGCCAGGACCCTAGAGGGAAATTGCATGGCCAGCAATGCAGGGACCTTACCAGCCGGGACTCAGTCCTACAATACCTGAGCAAGGCAAGTAGGATCCACCTGGAATTGGAGGCCATGCTGATGAGGCAGGTCCAAGTTCAAGCCAAAAAGTCAATGCATACGTGTCACAGATGGAGAGAGAGTTACGCACTTCACTTGTAAGAGAGAAGCAACAATATACTTTATTGATATAAAATAGTGAGTTACCAAAATTCAGTGGTAAATGCGACAGCAGTTTGACAAGATTTGATGGAGTAAGATAATTGACTTAGTCATATTTGCATACTAGCCATATTTTGGTTGGTGCATGCTCAGCTAGCCCTCAGCTGTTGAACAAGATGCGCAAGATAGCCCTTGTCTATTGTGCTGTTGCGCAAGATAGCCCTTGTCTATTGTGCTGTTATCTATCTACCCAGAGTGCAATTTAAGCCAGGTGCTGCCATCATGCCTGCCACTGGTGGTTACTGCTTAAGCAGGGATGAGGGAGGAGCTCACCACCACCACAGGCCAGGGTTAGAATCAGTGATCACCGGCCAGGTTCATAGTGACAGGGCAAGGCTAAGACCAATCCAGGAGGTCAGTCCACAGATTGAAATCTGCATCAAGGGATTCTGTGTGCAGGCATAATTGTGGCTGATGTGGAAGCCAGTAGTCTTCCAATAAAGCTCAGGCAGGGGCTGGGGGACCAGGGCTGAGCTGAAATAAAGCTCCTGGACCCATGGGTAGGGTGTGTGGCTGGAGGCCCCAGATGAGTCTGATCAGGGCTGTTGAAGTTTATTAAATGCACTCAGTGTCTTGACAGGGAAGTTTAATAAGCTGGTGTGGGTTGCAGTCAGACATTCTTGTGTTGGGAGGCATTGTCTGGTAATAAACTACAGTCTTTTGTATTTGTAACTTGTTTGTGCCTCTCTTGGTTTATATACAGGAAAACATACTGATCCATAAGGTCATAGGATTCTCTTTATTGTCAATACAAATAAAAAAACCAACTGAGTTCTGAAACAGTGTAACAGTAAGCTAGAGTACATTACATATCTCAAGACCAACAATTCTTAATAATTTTCTAAAAATAAAAGATGTTTGAAATTAAGTATTCTAAATACATATAAAATTGACAAAAAGTAATGTGTTCCTTTGTGTCAGTTACAGTTTCCTGATGGTGTTTGCTCCTCTATTTTGTAGACAGTTATCATAGAATCATAGAATACCAGCTTGGAAGGGATCTCAAGGATCATCTGGTCCAACCTTTCTTGGCAAAAGCACGGTCTAGACAAGATGGCCCAGCGTCTTCTCCAACCAAATCTTAAAATTGTCCAATGTTGGGGAATCCACCACTTCCCCGGGGAGATTATTCCAATGGCTGATTTTTCCCATTGTGAAAAATTTTCTTTCTCTGTCCAACTGAAATCTCCCCAGGAGTAACTTGTATCCATTACCCCTCATCTTTTCCACATGACTCCTTGTAAAAAGGAAGTCTCCATCTTCTTTGTGGCCACCCTTTAAATACTGGAACATGATGATAAGGTCTCCCCTGAGCCTTCTTTTCTCAAGGCTGAACAAACCCATATTATATGATGTATAACGTTTGAGAGATAAAAACATTTTTTAAAATATTGAGTTTACAGAGTTGATAACAACTGATTTTTTAATTTAAAGGTTTTGTAATATGTAACTGATTTCTGTACTGTCCACAGTCTATTTTTAGGAAGATTATTTTAATGTGTCTTCCTTTCTATTTAAGGATGGGATTGCTCGACCAATGACAGCAGTGCATGCTGCAGGTTACACTAAGGCAGCTATGAGAGGTATGGTTTGTAGGAATCATCAGCTGCCAGAGGGAGATGTTATTTTACAATTTTACATACTCTGTTAATTTTGCAGGTTCTTCATTTGATCCTCTTGGCCAAGCAAGAGGTCCTGCTTCACCTCTGGAAATGAAAAATTCAGACAGGTTTGTTCAGTTTTACATTAAATTATTCCAAGCATTAACAGCAACAAAAACCAGCAATGGGTAGAGTTTAGAAACGTCCAGGCAGTTACGAAACCTTGAGGGGCCAAACTCAACTTTGTGGAACAATGCCACAAACATTTACGCATGTGTTTAGCTGACTCACCAGAGCAGTTGCACTGACTTTCAGGAATGTCTGATTTCAGTGATCTCTAGTTCTGACTGTACTTAAGCAAACTGTGCATAGTTGTTGCCACACAAATGCTGTGATACTTATATAGAATTGTGGAGGATTATAGAAGAGTGTGTGACAGGCAAGGAACACCGTGATTCATGCAGCTCTCTGGGAGGAACTTGGGGGAATTTTGCCTGCTGTTTTTCCCTGTTCACTTTGACCTTAGCACTTGAGATGAAAGTGAGGTTGTGAAAGTTTAGCAGGCTAGTGTGCATGTTGGGGAGTTCACTGGGAACAAGTCATTGAGGTTTTCAATACAAAATTGTATTCCTCAAATATAACTGTTCGGGATTAGGGAATCCTACTGAAATGTTTGATTATTTAACTGAGGAAAAAATCTAGATGAATAATGACTGTTTATTAAAATCTGCATTTGCAAGCTATACTTTCAAGTTGTCAATGCAAATAAGGATTCAATTAATTGCTCTTAATACAATATTTAATTTCACTAGCTGTTCAGTTTGAAAGTTTTGCCAGCCCACCTGTTTGTTCTGTCATTACTTCTGAATATATTGGGTCCATGAAATTTGCACGTTTGTCTTGTTCTCATAAGAAGATTTATGTTTTCTTAGGTCTCTGTTCTCAAATTAAAAGTGTGAATGTGATATTTTTGGAGGATCTTCTTTGAGCATAGTTTCACATTATATTTTCTTTGATGGGAAAACTAGTTAGTTGTAACGTGTGATACATCACTGTGTTGTTTTATTGAGAATATCCTGTGTAAAAGCTTAGTGTTTGCAGTTTTATCCTTTTATTGTTATTTTTATTTTAGGTCAGAAGAGAAGATCAGGCAGTTGGAAAAAAAAGTGAATGAACTGGTTGAAGAAAGCTGCATTGCCAACAGCTGTGGAGACTTGAAATTGGTATTTTTTTCTTCTGGATTTCGCTTCACTTTTGCTATTATGTGAAGAATAATTTGTATAGATAGATGTTTCAAACTGACTTGGGTTCAAACATATCAAATTATTAAAATAATCTTAATTCAAAATTTGCTATGGCTTTTCTAATCCGATACCTTGTATTGCCAAAAAAAAAAAAGGTAGGAACTGTATTTCTTGTGTATATATTTTTTAAGATTTCAGTGTTACAAAACGTCCCTTCCCCATACCTCCATTGGCCTCTTCCAATGGGTCTGATCAACTAGTCATACTGGCACAGATTTGCGCAGCCTAACCTATGGGCTCTTTGGGAGTGGATGACCCTTCTTCACTACCAGGCTTGTAATTGGCATCTTTGCAGCATTTGATCCTCAGATGTTCAAGGTTCTTGTCTGAGTGACATTCCATTCCCTTGACATTGCTTGGGCTTTTTCGATAGTGTAATTTTCATCCAGGACTGGTGCTCAGTGCCAGGGTCAATCTCACTTAAGCCACCTCTGCAGTACCCTTCTATGTCAGGGTCTGTTTGGTGCCTACAGTGTATGGTAGACACTATATTGCTTTTATTGCACCATAAGGGGTCAGCATCAAGATGAACTCTTTTAAGGGGACCTTCCAAGCTAAGCAAACCCTAAGGTGCAAACACCAGTATCCTTCATAGGACAGTGGCAATAAAGCACATTAGTCTTGGGTTTCAGTGTGTCAAAGCAGCCTCTAACTCTTCCTTCTTAGGACCAGGCTTATGTTTTATTTCATATGCTTTCGACTGGCCAGCTACCATTCCTAAACTACTGGAGGCAGAGCAGGCTCAACTGTTCGTATTAATGGGATACATTGGGTTCTTAGAGATGTAGACTTTCTGTGTGCTCATCCGTTGCCCTCTCAAGTTCCTTATCTGATCCATAAGGGGGAAAAAATTATTTAGAGCTATGAGAGATGATGTTTCTTGCTCAGTCATCTGAGCTGCAAAAATTTTTTTAGTCTAGGAGTGTATTTTGAGGAGTTGGTCTACCTTGGTTATACTCCTTTCCAATGATTTTTGCATTATCTGTTAAGCTAATAGCTGATAGCTCCTTTGGAGAGAGAAATTTCTTTTAGCTTATCTTTGCCTAGCAGTCTGCACTGTCATGGGTTTACTTCCTTTGGGGGTTAACAAGAAGGCTTCTAACAGTGAAACTCTGAGTCCTAAAGTGGGAATTAAGTCTGGTGTTTAGACTGGATCGGCCCATCCTTCAATCTGACAAAGATCCTCTTATGTTGCACTTCTGTAATAAAACTTTTGTTTTTCCTGCCACTGGTAGCTTCTGATCAGAGTATGAAATAAATCTGTCCATTTATTTTGCTAATTTATGATAAGTATCCTTACAGACCTATCCTAATTTATTTCTGATATAATGTCTGAATTTCGGCTTCACAAGGAGATGAGCCAACCTGTTTTGTTATTTTTTCTTGAGCCTCTTGCATGTTTGGCCAAGAATGTTCTCTGTTTCTCCAAGTCAAAAGGTTGTTTCTTATGTAGATTATACCAGACCATTCTGAGGGTCCTCTGGGATGTTTGTGTTAGTTTCTGATAAGTCCAGCAGAATGTCTGTTTTCCTGCAGAAGCCATCAAAGTTGCCAACTCATTACCTATAAAACAGACAAGTTGGATTTTCCTTCTATCATAAGGTGTGAGACTCAAGCTATATCTTGAGAAGTACTTCCTTCACCACTAGCTGCCAAATAGCTACCTTGAGTGCTTACCCATTACTTTTTTAACCATTGTGCCCTTGCAGAGGTGTATGGGACTAACGTGCTACAAGTGTTAATGGCACTTGTAGACCTGTAGCATTACGTGCATGAAGGGTCTTGACACCAATCTGCAGAAGATTATCATTGGATAAAATAGTAATTTTGGAGCTACTCAAATTGTGAACGTACATGTGAAATACCACTTGTGGTTAAATAAAAAAGAGCACGTACAGCATGCATTTGTGTAACATGGATATTTACTTCCTGCCTTTTCTTTCTTCCTTCCAACACCTTCCTGCAATGGGATTCTGCAACTAAGGAAACATGCCAAGCCTAAATGCTTCCTCTTTTTTCCTTTTTTAACAGTTATATGCACTTTCTATTATTAATATGAGTTTAATAATCTTCTAGAGTCGTGATTGCGGTGTATATATGTGTGTGACTGTACTTCTTTATCATTATACAGCTAAGCAGACTAAGGCAACTTTATGTCTGCTTATTACTAATTCTGTGGGTTATATGGCTACTTTTCAGCATTGGATACAGTCTGTGCATCTAGAGAAAATGGACATGAGTATATTCCTTTCATACTTGTTTTGAAAGTATTTTTGCCATCTTGCGTTAGTAAGATTCAAGTAATTGCTGAATTCTATTATTTTATTTAAGGCTCTGGAAAAAGCAAAAGAGGCTGGAAGAAAGGAAAGGGTGTTGGTGAGACAACGTGAACAAATTGCTACTCCAGAAAACATCAACTTAGACCTCACTTTCTCAGTAAGTGCTGAGAAGTCTTCAGTGAGTGAAAGGTGTTGGTAACAAACTTCCTAAAGAGATTTTTCAGTGTTTGCTGAGTGTGTGTGTGTTGTAATGCTCTTAGCAGTGTACCAGGTCAGATCTGGTCCACATTTTGGGGCAAGGGAAGTTTATGAAGATCAAATGAATGACTTCTTGTGATGGGTTTGTCCTTGTCTGGGAGCCAACCCCACACAACTGCTCTCTCCCCCCCTGCTCCTGGGGATGGGGGAGAGAATTAAAGGGGTAAAGGGAAAAAAGACTCATTGGTTGACATAAGAACAATTTAATAACTGAACTACATTAATATTTAAAATATTAATATATACAAATGCATGATACATGCTGATGCTGCTCACCACCCCATGACCAAGTCTCAGCCTGTTCCTGGCTAACAATTCCGGAGCAGGGAGAGTCCTGAAACTGTAATCCCAGAATGGAGATAAGAGCCCGAGCATCCCAGACTGGGAGCTGACAGAGGGAGGGAGATGACCCGGCAAGAGGGACCACCCCGAGAGAGCCAACCTGAAAAGAGAGCTGACCTGGAGCAAGAAGGGGTCCGGAACAAAAAGGGACAAGCTTCTGGAGGGCCCTTGCCTATATACTGGACATGACGTGCGTGATATGGAGTAGACTATTGGCCAGTTTGGGTCTCAATCCTGAACCTAAGATCAAATCCTATGCTAGTAATTGGGCTGTTCTCCCTCCCAGCTTCTCCTGCACCTGCAGGTAAGGGCACGGAAAAGAAGCTGAAAACTTGACCTTGAGTGTCCTGGCAACAACTATAAACATCACTGTTACCAGCTTTCTTCTTGGCACAAATCCAAAACACAGCCTCTTGCTAGCTACTATGAAGAAAGTTAACACTGTTTCAGCTGAACCCAGGACACTTCTTGAAGTTAAAAACTTAACATTGAATTGCAAAGATGCATTTATATCATCAAGTCTATTCCCTTGCAGTCTCAAGTACAGCAGAAACCATGTAGTCAACATTAAGTGAAATAAAGATGCCCATGTGCATCTATTCCAGCTACCTACTCACAAACAAAACATGCATACCAAAATATAAAAGACTTAAACCCTGTACTTTAAAATTGAGAAAATGTAACATAGCAAGACAACAGGAGAAGTCAGGCAGTACCTATAACTTGAACCATAAAGTAACAGAGAATATATTACATGAACCATAAAGTAACAGAGAATATATTACATGAAGTAGGATATATTAATATTCCTAAATCCTTAATCTTAAAGCAAGTATCTAGATTTACATTCCTGTTTTCAGATTAATAGTAGACATTTTTTAAAAAAAGGATACAACGTAAATAAAAATACTCGGGGGGAATTTAAAGTTGTACTTCAGGTAGTGCTGTAGAGAAAATTATTAACAATGAATCTGTTGAGTTAGGCAGATGTAGTAATTTATTTTACGGTGAAGGTAAAAGAATAAAGCTGGGGAAAAATGTGAACATATTGTACCTGACACCAACAGAATTTCTGTTTTGAAACAGCAATTTGGTAAAATTCTCTTTGTAAACTGAGTGACCACAGGTAGTAGGAGGGTTTTCCACATGTTTGGAGTCACAAATTACACACAGTTTCTAAGAATTATCTTGCATGAATGTTTTTTAATACCCTTGCATTACAACATTTTGTTTATTTACGTCTAAGGCCCACTTGGCATCACTTCCAATTACAGTTACTTAAGTACAAAAATAAAAGAGTTGCCTACAATAAGTAGAATGGAAACTTGTTTTCTCTATGTTGATATACAAGAACAAAGGAACATGAAAGATGGGAAGCTTAAAACTGATAAAAGCAATACTTCCAAGGTAAATTAGTTTGAAAGTACTATTATGAATTTAACTTTATTACTGTTGAGAGAACAATATTATTTTCTTTTAACTATAATTCCATTTTTATGTAGGTTCTTTTCAATCTGGCAAGTCAGTATGCTGCTAATGGAATGTATGCTGAAGCACTGAATACTTATCAAGTTATAGTGAAGAATAAGATGTTCACCAATGGAGGTAGGGTGCATTCCGAAGTGGATTAAAATTGGTAGTCAGGTATTCAAAATAAGGACTTCATCTGTGTGGTGTTGACTTACAGGTATCTCAGCCCTCATGTCTGCCAGTCAGAGTGGATGACAGATACTCATAATCTCTGACTTGGTATAACTTAATGTGGTTTGTCTCTCCAACTCATGAAGTCTTTTCTGGCTAAGCTAAACATAAAGCCAAATTTATCATTATCTCATGCCGCACTCGCTATTTTGTCTGCTCTAATACTGATTTTTTCTCTTTTTTACTTAGCTTTCCCCTTCTGAAAGCTTCTTTAATATTTTGCACACCTTTGAGACTCCTGCAGGACATTTTTCTCAGAGATGTTTATTTACAGCTGTCTTCCTGGAAAGCACTAGAAATAGCCTTTACCTCATCCCTAAATTCACAGTCAAAATCTGAATATATCTTACACTAATAGTTCTTTTATGGGTTTCATTACTACTTCATCTCCTTCTGAGTGAAAATTCAGAGAAAGCTGTTTGTGCCGTGCTTTTTTAAAGGACCACTGGTAGCCTATAGTGAATACAAGTTTATTCAGAAGTTGTTCTATTCTGTCACTTTGGAATAATTTTTAAATGCTGTAACTATGCTTTAAAAGGCTGTAACTCATTGACTTCCTTTGACAGGTAGACTGAAGGTGAATATGGGAAATATATATTTAAAACAACGGAACTATTCCAAAGCTATCAAATTCTACCGTATGGCTCTAGACCAGGTTCCTAGTGCCCACAAAGAGATGAGGTGAGTTTCTACTAGTAGGCATGGTTCCAAAATACAAGTTTTGGATACAGTATGATTTGATAATTAAAAATATAACCTAATCCTCATTTCTTTACTTAGGATTAAAATAATGGAAAATATTGGAGTTGCATTTATTAAAACTGGCCAATACATTGATGCCATTTCTTCATTTGAACATATAATGAGCACGTCTCCAAACCTGAAGGCAGGCTTCAACTTGATCCTATGTTATTTTGCTATTGGAAACGGCGAGCAAATGAAAAAAGCCTTCCAAAAACTGATTGCAGTTCCCTTGGAAGTGGATTATGATGACAAATACATTTCACCAAATGTAAGTTTGAACAAAATAAACTGTGTCTCTGTATGGTAAATCAGGAGAAGGGGGAGAGACATTGAATGCCTGGACTATACTGAATATGTAAATCAATGTGTGTATATGTATCTAAAATAACTTTGTTTTCACCAGCATGAACTAAGTGTGGCAGTACTGCTCAGAAGTGTAAAATAACACTGAGAACATTCAAATCCTTTTTTTGTCAAAAGACATGATGTACGTAAAATCAACACTGCACAATTGTCTTTGTAACAATTTTGTTGAAATTCATCTGGGCTGACTTACATCGCTCAGTTACTGCTTTGACACCTTTATATAAAATTTTAATAAGATATTTATAAACTAAAAAGGGAGCAAAGCAATGAGTGAATTAATGCAAGTTATCTCAAGTGAGTGCTAATAAAACTTGTAATGCTGTCGTATTTTATATAAGAAAATTTTAGTAAAGTTTACAGATGCTTATTTTAGTTTATTAGACTTTGTTGGAAGCTGGACTTCCTTTGTACCATGAAACCAGCAGCTCATGATGTTAAAGGCAGGAAAAAGTAATCAATAAGTTTAGGGTCCCTCTTAGAAAGGCCCTCTCTATAGAAAGAGCAAGGCAAGTCCTTTATATTCTCTTAGCAATCTTTTTTTTCAGTGATGCAAAGTTCCCATTTTCAGTCCTCAAGAGCAAAGATATAACTAGTCTTCAAACTATCTGCAGCTTAAGATTACCTGTTGCTTCCTATTGTCCTACCACAAGCAAATAAAATTTATGAAGCATATATATTTATTTATATTTATTGTTAAATATGTATAGCATTTCTTATGTATTGTCTTATATATAATTGATACATACACAGTCTAAAGCTTTTCTTACAATGAATTATCTTACATGGCCTTAAATTAATTCAAGTGTTTATTGACCCTTACTGTTACATAATTTCTAATATGAGAAATTATGTATCATAAAATCATATACCTATTAACAACCCTAATGTGAGCTATGACCATATGCATGAGCAGAAAAACTGAATTAAAGCAGTTGTAATGCCAAATTTCAGATTTTATGGTTAGAAAACTACTTTAGACTGAAGCTATCTTTATGAAATTTGAGAAGTAAATAACTGATAGACATTTACATCAATTTATGTTTACAGTCGTATTTTCTATAAAATAATTAAAATGCATGTATATACTGGCATAATTTGCAGTTTTTTGTCCCCCTCCAGGATGATCCACATACAAATCTACTGATTGAAGCCATTAAAAATGACAGCTTAAGACAAATAGAATGTGAGAGGTAATGGTAGAATCCATTCTTTCTTCACCGTGGTGCAATGGATTTTAGTTCCTTAAAGTGTTACCAGTCTTCTCATGTGTCCACATCTTTTGTTAAAAAGATGTCTTCATAATTCTTGAGAATGCTTGGAAGATGAGGTTGGATCACTCAGTTTAGTGTACTGCACTAAAGCAGAGTATCTACTCCAAATGCTATAGTTTACACTGCTTAAAACTTGCAGCATTGTGGTATTTTAAAAAATACCACTACAGTGTGCTGTAGCAGTAGCAGGAGAGTGGTTAGATTGACTTCTAAGATTGTCCTGAGTGCAGGAAGAAGCAAGAACAAGCTTTGGTTATTTTTTTCTATACATGTTTTTGAAATTATGATGTTTGTGTTGGTTTTTGTGTTGTTTTTCTTTTTTTTTCTTAGGAAATCCATGGCAGAGGAATACATCATGACAGCTGCTAAACTCATTGCACCAGTAATTGATACATCTTTTGCAGTGGGCTATGACTGGTAAGAGTCAAGTAGAGCATCTTTTTGTCTAAACTACATACCAGTCTATCATGCTGGTTATGAAACCAGATTCACAAACATAAACAGCCTTGGAAACAGTTTGCTGCACATCTCAAACGCAGAGCCCAGGCTGTCTTCAGTTTGCCTCCCTAATGCTGTGGAGAAAAAGCAAAACAAAGCATTAGAGTCTATTCTGTGTTTAAAATTAATTTCATTTATCACTGAAACTCAACTGTTTATTATACATTTTGAACTGTTCTGTATTAGCACAAAAAGAGCTTCTTAAAACTCAGTTGAATTTGAAAATTCAGTTTGAAAATTGAAGAACTTTTAAAAGTCTTGATAGACAAATGCTATACAGAAGGCAATGATTGCTGCTCTTTAAGTTTGAAGACAGCATAATGGAAAGTTGGGGTGCCTAAGAAGTTTTCGTTACTCCATATGGAGTCATTATGTACAACACTGGAATCTAAATATTATTAGAAAGGTTTATTTGCATTTGATTTATAAACTTAATGTTTATAAATCTAAACTTAATGTACTGTTTGTTAAACATTTATACAAGTGTATACAGTGATAGGCTGCTGATGCTGTTTACCATTTTGACTTTTGTATCCACTTTTATTTTTCAATTTACAGCTTAGCTTTTGCTTTCTGTGGTATTTTCTGTAGCAGAATACTCTTTTCTTTAAAACAAAATAAACCAGACGCACTTCCTGTAAGGACAGTATAAAAATGATTAGTATAACTTTTCAAGACTTATTTTTTTAAACTAGTTTTTAGTTTTCTAATATAAGGACTTTGATATTTTTAATAACGTTATTGGAAAATAACATGTATGCAAATGAATGTTGTATATCTGCAGCTACAACATTACTAACAGATATGTTCAGTGTTTGGAAGGTGAAGGAAGTTTGAGAAAAAAGGAATTTCCTTTACCTGTTTTTTTTTGGCCAGTTAGGAGTATTTTCAAATTTTGCTGGTCCTTTTATAATTTACTAATAAAGCTGTTTATGCTAACATGAAATGATCTCTCACAGAGACCTGTTTAGCTGCTAGAGTCCACAAGGTGGTGTTTGATGGTTTAATAATAATTATTATTATCACTTTATTATTATTGCATTATTATTATTATTATTATGTAGCTCGGGGACACAATCTGCAGTCTCTGGTTTTGTTCACTAAGCTGGTTTATGGGTTTGGTAGTATATGCAACAGGAGGTCAGGTTTGAAAAATCACCTGATAGAACGTATCCAAGGAAAATCATTTGAAAAATGGTCTTAGTCAATATCTGACATAAAGTATCGCTCAGTGATGGAAAATAACATGATATTTGTGCAGCTGACTAAAAAAAAATTAGAGCAGAGATGGTTTTATTAAGGTAGGTTACGGGAATAAAATGTTTTTTCAAATAGTTTTAATCTAAGTGCACTTTACCTTTGTGAAGAAAGAGTAGCTAAGAGCAACTCATTTTGGAGAACAAATTGGCTCCAAAAGTATGTAACTTAAAGTGGCGTTTGGACAGATGTATTTTGTTTATCTTTATGGTTTTCTTTCTCTTGCAGGTGTGTTGAAGTAGTAAAAGCTTCTCACTATGTAGAGTTAGCCAATGACCTGGAAATAAATAAAGCCACTACTTACCTGAGGCAGCAGGATTTTAACCAGGTATAGTTAACTTTTCACATTACTAGTTTTCAATACTGTACTGGCAAAGGTATCTGTCTTATCCACAGCATATTTTTCAGCAAGGGAAAGAATGATTTATGCAAATGTAATAATTATATTGATGCTACTCAGTAAAATTAATTTATAAAAACACTGGCAAGAGATGAGATTAATCTAAATGAAATTTCTGCCACAAAAGTTACAGTGAATGCAGTTCATTTCAAAATTAAGACAACTAAATTTACTTATCTTCACTGGGTGTCCAGAGAAGGAGCATCATTCTGTAGTCATTACACTCCATAGAGCCTAGAAAGCGTGTTGCTAATCTACATGGAGGTCTTTTCATTAGTATGAGCTGAATCTTTTTGTCAGTTAGGTTGGCTGTAGTACCAAAATATATGCAGATGCACTTCATATGTAACATTATTGTTTATGTTATGGTATTCTCAGTGTTCCCTACGTACTACAGCATTCCCTAAAATACTATAATCCGACCTTGAACTTCAGTCAGCTTTCTTATACTTCAGTTTAAATACAAACTGGAATTAAGCGTCTGCTCAGGAATCATAGAAAGGTTTGGGTTGGAAGGGACCTTAGAGATCATCAAGTTCCAATCCCCCTGCCATGGGCAGGGACACCTTCCACTAGACCAGGTTGCTCAAAACCTTATCCAGCCTGGCCTTGAACACCTCCAGGGATGGGGCATTTACAATTTCCTTGGGCAACCTGTTCCAGTGCCTCACCACCCTCACAGTAAAGAATTTCTTCCTAATGTCTAATTTAAATCTACCCTCTTTTAGCTTATACCCGTTACCCCTTGTCCTCCCCCTACACTCCCTGAAAAAGAGTGCCTCCCCATCTCTCCTGTAGCCCCCTTCAGGTACTGGAAGGCAGCTATAAGGTCTTGCTGGAGCCTTTTCTTCTCTAGGCTGAACAACCCCAGCTCTCTCAGTATGTCCTCATATATGAGGTGCTCCAGTCCTCTGACCATCTTTGTGCCCCTCCTCTGGACTTGCTCCAACAGGTCCGTGTCCTTTTTATGCTGGGGGCTCCAGAGCTGGATGCAGTACTCCAGGTGGGGTCTCACGAGAGCAGAGTAGAGGGGGAGAATCACTTCCCTCAACCTGCTGGTCACACTTCTATTGATGCAGCCCAGGACACGGTTGGCTTTCTGGGCTGCAAGCGCACACTGCTGGCTCATATTAAGCTTCTCATCAACCAGCACCCCCAAGTCCTTCTCCTCAGGGCTGCTCTCAATCCATTTTCCACCCAGCCTGTGTTTGTGCTTGGGGTTGCCCCAACTCACGTGCAGGACCTTGCACTTGGCCTTGTTGAACTTCGTGAGGTTTGCACAGGCCCACCTCTCAAGCCTGTCAAGGTCCCTCTGGATGGCATCCCTTCCCTCCAGCATGTCGACCGTACAACACAGCTTGGTGTCATCAGCAAACTTGTTGAGGGTGCACTCAATCCCACTGCCCATGTCCAACAAAGATGTTAAACAAAACTGGTCCCAATACCAACCCCTGCACACTGCCACTTGGGACAGGTCTCCACTTGGACACTGAGCCATTGATCCCAATTCTTTGAGTGCGATCATCCGGCCAATTCCTTATCTACCAAGTGTCCAACCGTCAAATCCATGTCTCTCCAATTTAGAGACAAGTTTGTTGTGTGAGACAGTGTCAAAGGCTTTGCAAAAGTCTGGGTTGATGATATCAGTTGCTTTTCCATTATCCACCAATGCTGTAACCATGTCGTAGAAGGCCGACAAATTTTCCAGGCATGACTTGCCCTTTATTGAAGCTGTGTTGGCTGTTGCCCCCTTACTTTGTCACCCATCACATCCTTATTTTCTGCGTGCCTTGGCATAGTTTCTGAGAGGATCTGCTCCATTATCTTGCCAGGTGCAGAGGTGAAACTGATTGGCCTGTAGTTTACCGGGTCTTCCTTTTTTTTCCCTTTTTAAAAATGGGGGTTGTGTTTCCCCTTTTCCAGTCAGTGGGAACTTCATCTGACTGCCATGACTTCTCAAATATGATGGACAGTGGCTTAGCAACTTCATCCACCAGTTCCCTCAGGACCTGCAGATACATTTCATCAGGTCCCATGGACTTGTGCACCTTCAGGTTCCTTAGATGGTCTGGAACTAAGTGTGCGGTTCTCCTACAGTGGGTGGTTCTTCACTCTTCTAGTCCCTGCCTTTGCCTTCTGCAACTTGGGCGATGCGGCTTGGGCAGTTGCTGGTGAAGACTGAGGCCAAAAAAAGTCATTGAGTACCTCAGCCTTCTCCATATCCTGGGTAACCAGGTCTCCCGCTTCCTACTGGAGAGGGACCATGTTTTCACTAGTCTTTTATCACCAACGTACCTATAGAAGCTTTTCTTGTTGCCCTTGACATCCACGGCCAGATGTAATTCCACCAGGGCTTTAGCTTTCCTAACCTGATCCCTGACTGCTTGGGCAGTTTCTTTCTATTCATCCCAGGCTACCTGCCCTTTCTTCCACCCTCTGTAGGTTTTGTTTTTGTGTTTGAGTTTGTCCAGCTGTTCCCTGTTCATCCATGCAGGCCTCCTGGTGTTTTTGCCTGACTTCCTCTTTCTTGGGCTGCGTAGCTCCTGAGCCTGGAGGAGGTGATCCTGGAATATTAGCCAGCTTTCTTGGACCCCCCTTACCTCCAGGGCTTTATCCCATGGTACTCTACCAAGCAGATCCCCAAAGAGGCCAAAGTCTGCTCTCCCGAAGTCCAGGGTAATGAGTTTGCTGTGTGCCCTCCTCACTGCCCTAAGGATCTTGAACTCCACCTTCTCATGGTCACTGAAGGCCAGGCTGCCCTTGAACTTCACATTCCCCACCAGCCCTTCCTTGTTGGTGAGAACAAGGTCCAGCATAGCCCCTCTCCTCATTGGCTCCTCTGTCATTTGGAGAAGCAAGTTATCATCAACACATCCAGGAACTTCCTGAATTGCTTATGCCCTGCTGTGTTGCCCCTCCAAGAGATATGAGTGTTGTCCCTCCAACAGGAGCTTGGACAGTTTTGCATCTCATGAAAGATTGCTCCCCCTGGAGGGCACAGGGGGCTGGGATGGATCACAGTTTCTGAAAAGATAATAGCAGTTTAAGCCACAATGTAGATTAGCAAATGCAGAAGGTCATAGGATAGATACAGTACTGGTACTTCCAAGTAAAAGTATAGCTCATTGCTCAAAATTCGTTAACTGGCAGAAGTTCAGAAGATAGATCTAGAAAAATCTTTGAGTTTTAGTTTTTCATCATGCGTATTATTACATATTCCCTTTTCATGGTTTTGTTATATTTTTAAATATACATGTGAAGTAACTTTTGGCTGCATTGGATTTATGTCTATTTATGTATGTAAGATGTCTTTCTGTAACTGACTGTCCAGTCACTAGTTAAACAAATTTCTGCCAATGAATTTTATGCTGAACTGCCTTCATCATCCACTCTTGCTAATAAGTACAGCAGGCTCTTAACTGTAACTTTCCTTTTTTATGCATGTAAATTGCCAATGTAGGTGTATAAATTAGTACCACAACTTAGCATGATTAAGTTTTTGTTATTAGCTAAGTGAATGTGCAGCTTTCTTAGTGTTTCATTTTGAGACAAATGCATTTCTTTGCTCTTAATCAAATTTTTATAGGTTGTGGGACAACTTATATGTCGGTTTTAAAAGCCACCACACCGCCTCTTGTTAAACACCTCGTGGGCTGAGGCAAGGGCTGGGAGGGTTCACTCGCCTCTTATGGTCACGGGCAAGAAACCCACATGACTTGGGAAAACACAAAAAGACAGTTTAATTTGTTCACTGTTTACAATCAGAAACAAACTCTTAGCAGTTATTTACAGGAGCCACCACTGTAGCCCCTCCCTTGCTACCAAACCAACCCACCACACAAAACCACAACATTATAATACAAGGTTTTCATTAGAATTGTTATGTGATCTTTTATTTGCCTGTGAAAAAAAGGCTTGGTTTGAGATGTGAGTAGTTGGAAAACAGCTTAATCTAAACAAAAAGAAGCTCATGTATCTGAAAGATTTGCACAATTTCCTTTTAACTTGCACTGTTCAGTACATTCAATGACAGGAATGCTGAATAAATAAGAAGGAATATAGCAACCCTTGGGTTTGCACAAGTGGCAAGAAGTATGAGAGATCATATACAGCAAAATTACAGCTGAATCTGAATACCTCACATCTTCTAAGGTCCTTCACCTTCCCATAGCTTGGACAGATGCACGCTTTAGCCCACTTTTCCTTCTCTTTAAGCTCTTCCGGTTTCCTGAGTGGCTCTTGATTCCTCCTGTCTGTCCTGTTCTCTTCTCTTTCCATACAGCAAGAGAGTTATCCTTTGTCATACTGCATATCTGACTGATAGCTTTTCTGAGATCAGGAAGCAGTTTGAGAGTTTAGAAAATTTTGGGCAAATCTAGTAGCTTTATTGATGATAGCTTTTGAAGGGTGAGAGTGTTACAGGTAAGTAAACAGTTATATGATCTCAAGAATTTACTATTTTTATGGTATTTTTTTGTGATTTTCAGTTAGTATCCAGTATAGGTTAAAAAAATCAATTCTTGGAGGTAAAATGAAAGACAGAGATAGTTGGTGATGTTTCTGTGGAGTACTGCAATAGAGGGAGAGGGAAGAGTGTTGGAAGTTAGGAGTAAGTGGCAAAGATGCTCTTTTTATTTTGATTATGTGATAGAAGACCTTTAACGTGCACTGGAACTACACTAATACTAGAGTGGGACTGCAGAATGGTGATTGCAGAGACTCTCTTTGTTCTAATAAAACTGCATCTGCCATTTACATTCATCTTGTCTATCTGATGTTCATATACTTACTAACTCGGCACCTGTTCAACACACCTTTGGCTGAAGAACAAGAATGGAAACTTTTTGAAATATTCAGTTTCAAGGCTGAAAGTTTTATTGTGTTGCAAAAAAAAAACCAACAAACTAAAATAGATTTCTGCTCTAACTATAATGGGCTTAACTATGTGCTCATCATAATTAATATGTTATTTTAAAACAGTCCTAGGGAAAAAAAAAAAGAAATATATTCAGGGTGGAAGTGACTATATTATGTCTAGATTGTGTTTTACTAGTAAGGGCTTTTGTGTATCAGATATTTTGAATGTTTTCTTAATTTCAAATAAAAACTTTGCAAATGAATTCAAAACTAGAACTCTGCAGGTTAGCCACGCCACTCCTTAACACCTCTGGCAGACCCTGCTTGGGTCGGGCAAGGTGCTTTGAAGTTTAACTTCTGTAAGCAAATAATTTAGGTACGTTGGAAACTTGTTACAAAGAATAATTTGGATAGTCTCTGTTTTGATTGTTGAATCTAAGTAATTGTTATTGTTGTGATTAAAAAGTTTGAAGTTATTTAGAAATATATAAATTTAACTGATGATACAGTGAGAGCATTTCTGCTTTGCAAGGACAAAAGGAGTATTGCTATGGACTTTCATCCTAGGGCTTGTAATTGTTGAAATGGTTCAAGAGACCTGCAATATAATTTACCAGTAAGTGAATAGAGTCATATGAACTTTTCAATATACATGAAAAAGAGATTACTTCCACTCTAATCTTTATTGTCAAAGGTGCCATTTAGTAGTAAAAGCAAAGGTAAACAGATCTGCTCCAATGGTAAATGGCTTTTCAGAAAGGGACTTTGAACTATATAGCTCTAAGTTCACTAAATAATTCCATGAAGAAGCAAGCCTTTGCTTAAGAGTAGAGTACCTCAGATATAGTCGTGTTACATCTGTAAATATTTGGGGCCATTCCCTTTTTGTAGAAAGTCACAAATATATATAAAAGTTTTAAATTATCATAGTCGAAGTCTTACATTTCAGACACCACAAAATCTGGAGCCTAACTTTTGAAATGCTTTTCTTGACTGAAGTATTATGATCTTTAGGAGTTCATAGTTCTTGGGTGGAATGTAGTTGACTAAATCAGTGAACTACATCTAGCTGTATATACTTTGTCATTTTACATGTCATTAGTACAGTCATGTTTTTTGTGTAAAGTAACTGTAAAACCAGTATGTATAACAGTCAATTAAAACTTTTTTCCTTTATGTTTGTTTTGGCATTCCACATAGAGTATCATGCATTCACTTTGATATGTAAACAGCAGCTTATAGGTTTCATGTAAAGGAAGAAGGAAACTTTTGAATTACCTAATGTTGACGGCTGCATTGTGGTTACCACATCTATGTTGTAACAGATGATGGAACTGGGCTAACAGTGATATTCTAACAGTTTGTGTAGCTCATATAAATATTTAGTGTAAAGAATCCAGATGTTCTTAATAATTTAGTCTGCAGTTACAAATGTTGTCACATAGTCAATGAAAAACAAAAAAGCTGCCTTTTATTTCAAAGTTTCTTTGATAGTTTATTAGCTAGACATTTGTTTACTTTTTGTCCATAAACTTCCTTATGTTGGAGTTTATGAAATTTAGTTTTCATGTAAAAGTTTTAAAAAGTATCTTCTGGCCTCAGTCTTCATTTTTCGCTACTTCCCAACCTTAGACAGGTGTTGTCTTATTATTATATGAAAAAACTGCAAGTTGAAATCCAATCCTACCCTGTCTTACATATTTTTTTATACAGTGTGTACTTTTTAAGCTTTTTAATACGAGTTTTAATGTCAATCCTTTTGTGTTCACTTAAAGAATTGGAAAAGTAGGTATAAGAATTTTAATTAGTTGACTAGATTAAAAGCAAATAATATAAACGAGTTTTGTATGTATAGAATTGCCAAATATCTGTGTACTTCAAGGTAGCCATATCTAATTAAATTTTTGAAAAGTAATAAATTAACCAAATTAATATTATGCGTAATACAGATATACTTCTGTGTGTACATGCTTACAAGGGTGTGTTACAAGCTCCAGTAATTATCATGTATGTGAGTATATGAGCTGATAATTTTAGCTGTTTGTTACTGTGAAGTTTATCAATGCTTTCTGAAAGAATTTTGGTATAAGTTTGCTTCAGTGGGAAGTAAGTTGTTTCCAAATTATTTCCAGGCACTTGAGATGTTAAAAATGTTTGAAAAAAAGGATAGCAGAGTAAAGAGTGCAGCCGCAACAAACCTTTCATTCCTTTATTATTTGGTAAGTGTTTGCTTTGACAAAACCAGTTAAGAACTGCAGTTTATGTAGCAGCTTTTGTATCTTTGTAGCAATTTTTGTCTATCTAAATAATCTCTATAATCAACAAGAAACTTCATGTTAGAGGAGTTGTTCTGGAACACCCATTCTTGGCTGTAGTTGAAGTTTGGAGCATGTCCTTTGTATCCTGTTGCTGAGAGGAGGAGTGAGACTGAGCCCCAAGCCACGGAAGTATGCCTGTAGTGTGATTTGTACAGAAGCTCAGCAGCTGCATTTAAAACTCTGGTCCTGAAGACCCTGGCTGAACTTCAGGAACGTGTGAAGTATGTAGCTTAGGCATGTGTGTTTGTGGATGAAGTTTGTAGGGTCTGGGGATTTATTTTTGTTTTTAAAGAAAGATTACCTAAGTTGCAAGTAAATTTCAAATGGAATGGGACAGAGTGGCAAAACATCTCTCAAGTGTTAAGTTATCTGAAACTTGAAAGATGATCTGCCTTATGCATAAGGAGTATTTTAGGACTGAAGAATTTATCTTTTTTCATCCCCAATCTTTTGAAATTCCACTATATTAACTGTAAGAAGCCACAGCTGCAAGGAAATTGACTGACAAATGACTAATACGATGTTTGTTGTGTTCATGTAGGAGAATGATTTGGCACAAGCAACTAACTATGCAGATTTAGCTGTAAATTCTGATAGGTACAATCCAGCAGCTCTAACTAACAAAGGAAATACTGTTTTTGCAAATGGAGACTATGAAAAAGCAGCTGAGTTTTATAAGGAAGCTCTCAGGAACGATTCCTCATGCACTGAAGCACTTTATAATCTTGGTAAGCCAAAGGTACTTTTGTGATTTATCTTTTGTGTAAAGGTAACACTAGTGTTTCTGAGAATCTGGCTTTCAGAGTTTTCTTGTGTAGGAATATGTACTAATTATTATTACTTTATTCAGTAATTTATGTTAAGCAAGATTTTAATTTGTACTTCCTATCTGTTCTGCAAAAAAAAATAATCAATGTTAACAACATCAAGTAGTAACTGCACATAAGATTTAAGTCACTTTGAAGATAAAAACTTCTACTATCTACTAAAAATATACCCGTTATTAAACCACCAGAGTAATTCCCCTTTAAAAGGCCCAAAAAAAAAATCCTGCATTTGTCTTGTTCAAAAAATGAGTTTACATATGTTCTTGGTCTTTGATTAGGTTTGTGTTCCTTGTGTTTATCAGTTTGGTAAGTTATAGTGCCTCTGAGTACCATGTTCCTGTTTCATTTTTCTTGGTTATTCTGTCAGTTAATATGCTGAACTAATCTTTTTCTCATTGCATTAGTACTGTAACCTTTATTTTTTAGGTTTAACGTACAAGAAGTTAAACAGAATAGATGAAGCTTTGGATTGTTTTCTGAAACTCCATGCGATCCTTCGAAACAGTGCTCAAGTCCTTCACCAGATAGCAAACATGTATCTTTTTCTAGATTATGATAAGGGATGGTGGTTTTAGTAAACTCATTTAATCTCAAATATATGTTTCAACCATGACATGATGACTTAGATGTTTACTGTAGTGTCCATTATAAATTAGGATGATCATGCATAGATTCATTCTCTGGTGTGTGTGAAAACAAGAACAGAAATTACAACCTTCTTGGACATTTCTAGAGAAGCAAGTGAAGAAATACATTAAGACTGTTCACATTGCAGGAAGTATTACACTCAGTATTAAGTTATGTCCTGGAGTATTTAAAATGCTGCTGATTTTATTATGAAAATAATGTGGCAGATGTAAGCACAATTGAGTAAAACCTTTAAGAAAAAAGTAATACAGTTAATGACAGCAAAGTTCTGTCCTGAAAGATGTTTTCAGATTAGTGTATGTTTAAGAAAATAATTGTCTATCAGCAAAAGCTCAACAGATTGAAAAGCTGAGGAGGCAAGGGGTTGGCTTTGCACATCACTGGTTATATTCTACATTATTAATTTATTTAACAATACTTCTGAGGATGTGCAAACTGCAATAAAATCCTCCCCAAGGCAGATTCCAGTTGTTGTACTACACTTTTAAGAACAGCGAAGGTAATAAAAATATATTTTAGTCAGTAAAATAAGTAACCTCCAAAAATACAAAAGGGCTGTGACCTCTATTCCTTGCGTAGCCCCTTTACAACAGCATAAATGGTCCTACAATTCCCAGTTTCCATCTGGAGGAAAATTTCTCTGCTCCGCTACTATGTAAAACTGTTTTCCACCAATATTCAGAAGCTTTTTCCATGAAGCGTAGCGTGCAGCAGAAACTGAAAAAAAATGTTGGGCAGTAGCTCCATCTGACATTGCTGCAGGGGTCTGGGCTGTTGTGCTGCTCAGGGGTGACTGAGGAGGGGAGAGCACACTGCAGGCCTGATTACAGCTAAAGCTGCCTCTGTTCTCTGGACCAGAATTGCACATTGTCTGTGCTGTGCTTCTTAGCCATACAGCGGAAAATATCACTGCATGCAGAAGTCTGGTCTTGAGCATAGCAGTTTTACGTAATAACTTACTTAAGGACGATATGATGTATTATGAAAAACCAGCCCTCTTGTAAATGCTACAAATCACCTAGTTCTCACAATTTATTCTTATCAATGAGGAAGTCAAAGTAAAATTAGTGACAGAGAGAGAGCATAGCCCAAAGTTCTGTTGAGCCCAAAGTGTTTTTAGGGTGAAAGAGCAGCCAAAGCTTCTGAATATTCTTTCTTCAGAGGAACAAAAATACTGTCTGATACCAATGAAATTATGAAAATGATGTGTAAAAAACCAAAACAAAACAAAGCACCAATGTATCTTGACACTACAGTGACTGACATATCTGTCCAGCATATGGATTACATTATATAAATGTGATGGGTTTGCCCTTGGCTGGGG